AAGAAAGAAAGAAGAAAAAGTAAAATACACATGACAGCAGCTGGTGTCAGGTGAGGTGAGGTTTGGGGCTGAGCTCTGATCTTCGCAGCTTCCAGTCTGCTTTCACAGGTCCTGGTCTAAGACAAACACCTCAGCTGCTTCATTACCAGCTGTGAATTCCAAGCTCAGTGCTAATCCGAGCTGTCCACGCCTGTTCAGAAGTGTCCCCGTGGTCACAGAAGGTTTCTGGGAGGAAGTGGTAAAAACACCCAGAGGGCTCTAGCCCCACGCTGTCCAAAAGATATAAAGTGAGCCACACCCATAAATACGGATTTTCTTTTAGCCACATTTGAAAGAGGAAAAAGAAACATAAAAGAATTTTGATGTTGTATTTAACTGGGTACATTTCAAATATTATCATTTCAGTATGCGGCATATTGAAGCATTATTGGTGAAATATTTTGCTCTTGTTCACACGAAATCTTCGGTCAAGCTGCACTCTGCATACTCAGGGCCGGGTGAGCCAGTGACCACCACCGGGGCAGCCCCGACCCAGGAGCTCCTCAGTGCTGGGCACACGGTCAGCAGGCGGAGCCACGAGCGGGTGTCCCCGAGTGTCCCCCAAGCACACCGGACACTCTCACCTGCCTGGCTCCACTGTGGAGTTTGTCAAATCAGCATTCAAGGGGAGTTTTACTCATACGTTTTTTCTTGTTTGCTAGGAAACATAAAATATTACTTTTGAAATAAAACATGTTTGGTTTAACTTCTTAGGCAAAGTATCAGCTCCCATCATTATTTTAACTTATTTTTAGTTTCTTTTTTATTAGTACATGCTCGCAGTATGTAACCATCACATTCATCCTGGAGGTGTGTAGACGTGCATAACACATCTTAATCTTCTCCCCTTCCCCTCCCTGCTGACAAAACCACTACTTCCACTTTCTCCTTCTATTCTTTTTTTTCTTTAAATCTCTTTTCCTTCCTTCCCTCCCCCTCCCCCATCTCTTATTCTCCTTTGTTTTAGCTTGTATCTAGATGGCCCTCCAAACCCTCATGTGCTCATAGGTGGGGCTTTTCAGAGGTGGCCGGATCTAGGGCATGTGATACTGGGATTAAGGGTGTGTAGCACTAAATTAGTACACTGATTGGTTTAGCATAGTTCTGGGTGTGGACAATGGAAAAGTCCACTAGGTGTGGGTGGCACCAACCAATAGGCTTGTAGCCTGGATGAGATAAAAGGACAAGGGAGGCTCATGGCTCACTGCCTGCTGCACCATGGACTGTTTCTCCCCTATGATGCCCCTGTGCCAGGCTGCCCTGTCTTGGAGCCAGTCAACTATGGACTGAAATCTCTGCAAACCGTGAGCTGAAATAAACCCTTCCTTCTTTGACTTCGGGTGTCAGGCATTTTATCTCAGCAATAAAAAGGATTAAGACATCCTTCCTATTTGAGTAAGATCTTCCTACCTCCTAATCTCTACACACATTTTTGCTCTTTATTTACACTTTGGGTTTCTCACACAGGAGAAACAATATAATATTTAAACTTGTGTGTCTGATTTATTTCACTTCAGATGGTGGTCCCCAAATGCATCCATTTCTCTAAAAATGCCCCACTCTGTCCTTCTTCATGGCAAAGTCATACTCCATTGAGTATAAATACCACATTTTCTTTATCCATTCACCTGTTGATGGGCATATGGGCTGTTTCAAGATTTAGCTATTGTAAATTGTGCTGCTATAAACATTCTCATAGTTATTTTAAATAAATCTTTTTTAAATAAATCTTTGCAAGTAGAGATTCAAGTACACAAAAATATGAGGCTGTGTTCTTCTCTCAAACACATCCAATTTCTAGCAGCTGTAGCAGCTTCTTGCTATGTGACTCTAATTTTCTCTGTTCCCTTCCCTCAGGGAGCCCTTTCCTATCCTTACCTGGCCACTCACACCCCATTACAGACTGACACTCACGCTGCTGAGGGAAATCCCTATGACACTCCAGTTCTCTCAACTAGAATTATATATCTAAAACCCACTTTTTGTGGAAGTGTTTATGTGTTAGCTCACTTCATTTTCAGCCTTGCGTTATCATCTCTATCTTACTGTTTAAAGAAAATTAGTTTCTTGAAAGCTATGTAACTTGCCCAAAGCCACACTGCTAATCACACACTGCTAATCACTTTGCATTCTTGAGAAGTTAGCATCGGGAGACTGGTGTCCTCCACCAACTTACAACATTGATGGCGTTGTAAATTGGTTCCATCTTTTCTGAGACTAACCTGGCAATGTTGAGCACAATAAAATGCCCCATACGCTTTTATGCAATGATGCTGGAATTTCTTCCAAGGGAACAGATAAAGTCTGCGTGCACACTCCCAACAAATTGTGAGATGTATATGGCAGAGAAGTATCCATGATAGCAAAAATATAAAAAATAAGCAACTACCCCAAACTTCTTCATTCACTGAACAAATATTTATTGAGCATCTTCTGTTTGTTAAGCATAGTCCTAACAACAAGGATCCATTGTGGAGAAAAAATATATAAGGATAAAGATGATTCTTGTTTTCCTGGAGAAGCTTCGTGTGCAACTATATTAGGAGTACAAAAAAATAGATAACAGCAGCCATGTACATTAAATTATCTAATGTCCACATCAAAAAGGTAAAAATAAATAAGAGAAATTACTTTTAATAATATATTTTGTCTAGCTCAATAAATCAAAAGTATTATTTCAACATGTAGTCAACATAAGAAATATTTCACATTTTTATACTACATCTTTGAAATCTGGTATGTATTTTATACTGACAATATATCTCCATTTGAATACCAAATTCATATCAGAAATATTAGATCTCCATTGACATTTCATAAAATTTACCATTAAAAAACATAGATTCACATATCCAAGGTATTCCAAACATACTCTGAAATTTTCCCCAAAATAATTTTCTATTAGTATTTGCATTCACATTGGATAAAATAGCTCATTTTTTAGAAAAATCAATTTGACTTTGTAACAAAAGCGTGTCTCTCAAAGCAACTTTTGCCCAAATTAGGTAAATTCACCAATGCGTAGGTCAGTCCAGTTTTCTTGGCATGAATTGACAGATGTCACTGAAAGCAACTCTAAATTTATCAATATCACAAATTATCCTTCACATTTTTGTTGCTTTTGTGGCCAATTCCCTAATAGTGCCGATTACAGTTAAAATCTTCTGCAATTGATTCATGTTAGAAAAAAGGTATAAAGTTGTTATCACTGATTTGGATTCAGAGAAGTTTCAACATGAACTCTGATTCCTATCTCACTCAGTCACAAATACCGTATTTCCCCCAAAATAAGACCAGGTCTTATATTAATTTTTGCTCCAAAAGATGCAGCGGGGCTTATTTTCAGGATATGGCATATTTTTTCACGTGTGACAACCTACATTTATTTATTTATTTATTCATGGACAAAAACCTACAGTTATTCAGGTACAAAAATCTATCTTTATCCCAATAACAGTCAGTCATTTTCTTCTGAACCTCATCAAAGCTCTCCAAATCCCAGCCTGGATTTCCTGCCGTTCCATTTCCCGTAGAACCATTGGCCCCCGTCTCTTGCGCCCAGCAATAGCGCGCTCCTTAAACGGCCATGCCTTGCCCATGTAGCCTGCTCATAAAACATCTACAGCACAGGTGTCAGCGATTTTACCCCATGAATTCTTCACCCAAGTCACAACCTCCAGCAGGCTGGGCTTCACAGAGCTTCCGCTAAATCTAGAATTAACTTTGAAGGCTTGAGAGACAGCAGCGGCAACAAAAATGACGGCAGTTAGCAATGACGGGCCACGCAGAAGCGATGAAAAATTACAGGCACCAAAATGTAGAAAACGTTTCTTTTCACAGAAGTACATTAGGTACGTCCATTACTACAGATGATGTTGAATTATGAAGTTTCATATCAGATACAGCCAGGTTCCTTACCAAGTGGGCATGCTATTCACACGGTGTCTGTGCTCCGATCAGCAACCAGTCTGCTTCATCTCCTTACATAGGCATTTACCTCCCATCTAAAGGCACCTGCTTGGGTATTTACAAATAATTAGAATTTCTATTATCATTTATGTATTAATGTCAATAATATTCATTTACATTTAATTACATATTAATACCATCATTTTGTAATTCAATATGTCTGCTGTGCATTGCAGCAGATGTACTAAATGCATCTATCTGGCTGACACTTACCTGGGGCTTATTTTGGCTTATATTCTGAGCACCCTGGAAAAATCATGCTAGGGCTTACTTTGGGGTTAGGTCTTAGCTTGCGGGGAATACGGTAGCACTTCTTTCACCTGCAACTTCAAGTTTACCTTCTGCCTATGGAGGATAAGATTGGAGGGAAAACAGAAATCAAGTTGCCATTTTGTTTCTTTGATTACCATTTGATAAGTGTTTCTTTTGTTTCAAGAAAATCTTGAATTAGCAAGTCTCTTTAAAACTCTGCCCTAACACAACCAACCAGTACTGGCAGAGATCAGGGGGTCACTGAAACCAGCGTCCTCCATTTACTTCAGCGGTTCCAAAAACTGGTGATGATTCACCTCATTTGGACGTTTACACCAAATAGTCCTCACAATGGCATCTGAAACACTTTGCATAGTCATCTTCAGAAAAAATAAGCACAAATATTTTCAGTATGTGTCACATGATGGAATGAAATACTAAGAGAAACATCAGTCTTATTTCAAAATTCCTATAAAACTATAATTTTTTAAATGATAGCACTGGATCATAGGGTACCATGCTAAGAACTAGCTTTTTCATATGTAACTAAAATTCTTTGACAGCTATGAAAGACCCAAAATTATCCATGGCTCCAGTTCAACTCTTGGACTAAAACTGACATTTCTTTGTGAATGTGAAAGTTGTTTGAGAAAAACAATTTTTTGTGTATTTACTGGGCAGTGTCTCTTACATCTCATTACTCATTCAAAGCTAAAGAAAAGTACTAGCAGCTTCCCAAAATTCAGTCAACTTATCTTTGACATAAGCAGAAATGTTTTGTATTCTACTAACAATTATTTGGTGGCTTAATTCTTCATCATAATGAAGATCTTTAGCATTTTGCAAAACATTATTTTTAGCTCTTTTTCTTTATAATTTCCTCTCAAATTTGCATAACTGAAACAACTTATTTTAATCTTTGCCCATCTAAAAGTGAGTTCCCTTTCTGTGCAAGAATCCATGCCATTTTACAGCTAGCCAAATTCACATATTCAAGTCAGATTCAAAGTTGTTAAAATTTTTTATTGGCTACCCCAGTCAGAATGGCTAGCGTCAAAAATAAAAATAGTAAGTATAATAAATGCAGGCAAGGGTGTGTGCTACACTGTTGGTGGGAATGTGAATTAGTATAGCCACTATGGAAATCAGTACAGAGGTTAGAAACTAAAAGCTGAATCACCACGTGATCCAGCTCTACTGCTCGAGGTACAGACACAAAGGAGCTAAAGCCAGCTCATTGCAGACACACTGTGTTCCCGTGTTTCTCTTGGCCCCGTTCATGTAGCCAGGTTGTAGAATCAGCCTAGGACCCATCGGTGATGAACAGATAAAGAAAATGTGTACATACACCGTGGAGCACTCTTCTGCCATGAAGAATGAAATCAAGTCATTTTCAGGCCAATGGACAGACGTGGACATCATTATGCTAAGCAAAGTCAGCCAGACTCAGAAAGGTAAGAATCACATGTTTCCTCTCCTACGTGGAGTCTAGGGACAGGGGAGACAGCATGAAAGCAAGAGACTTAGAGAGAAGAGAGCAGGGGAAGGAAGCAGGATGGATATGGTCAAATGTCACATGCCTGTACGAAAACGGCACCATGACACCCAGGATCCTGTGCAGTTAATAAGCGCTGAGAAAAATACACAGAAAATTCCCTGGATAACACTTCTTATGCACGTTCATTGCTCTTTTGCATTGCTCAGAGGAAGGTTCTCAAACTGACTGTGTGTTTACTGCGGGTTTCTCTTAAGATTGTCCACTTCATCATCTTTTGCACAAGAAGCAGACCCTGTGCTTTCTGTGCACAGCTGACTGTAACTGCTCCTCGTCCTGAAATTCCCTCCGGTCCTTTTCCTCTTACCACTGCGTCACAGTATGAGCTTCTGCATTTCCACCCGATTTCGCAGCAGTCGTGTGCCTTCATCTTAGATTTAAGTGTTTTCCATACTTACACTTAACTAGAAAAAAATTTAATTACGTTGCAATTAAAATGAATGCAAGAGTGTTCAAGAATTTAATAGCTAGTAATTACGATTTGCATAGGTATTGCTGTAATTCAGGCTGTCTGCAAAGAACAAACGCAGCACAAGTTATGTCACACACAAATAAATAAATTGTTCGCACTTTATCCATTGTCTGACCCCTCTTGGGTCAGTGAGGTATTAGCCTACACCATAGTGCCTTAGGCTATGTGATAAACTGTCCTACATGATAATACAGTTGTGTTTAACAGGAAAATATTTGATACTGCTTCAGCTTCTAATAACTAATAACATTCCTCAGTCACCCTGGTCACATTCCCGGAGCTCAGGAGGCACACGTGTCCAGCGCTAGACCTAGAGGCTGTGGAGGAGGCAAGGACAGTTGGGGTCGGCAGCCAAACACAGGGTCCTGGGATTTAGAGAAATTTTCAAACCCTCTGAGCACAGCTGCTGGCTTCTCCCTTTCACTTCAAGGAAGACAATTTCCTGTTCACTTTAGAATGTTCACATCAGACTTGGTTGGAAGAAAGTGTTTTGGTGCCTGCTTTTCTTTAAGTCTCAGAAGCCAGAAGTGCCTGGTTCCCTGGCCTCTCAGAGGATTAGAACTTCCCCAGGGTGTTCCCAGAGCTTGTTAGAAGTGTCCCTCTCCAAGAGATTCAGGTGTGCATGAACTGGGCCACACGGACTTTTCAGCCCCCTGAGCTCCCCACAAACTCCTGCATGCACCCACCCATGCACACATGCAAGCACACACAGTGTTTTGATGAGGAATTAACCTATCTCAGCAGCAAGTCCAATTCTGGCATTGTGGAAGAGCACACAAATCAGGGAGCACAGCTCTGAGGGCTTTCACTGGGCAGCCGTGGCCAGGTGGAGCGCCTGGAGGGTCAGCGCCACCATTTCCCCACTGCTGTGATGTCACTGTGCCTGGTGGCACCCCTGGAAGCACTGCAGTGATGTGGCAGAAGGAGCTTGGTCAGTGGTTAACCAAATGAACACTGAAGCAAACTTGAGTGGGTTTGCATCCCAGCTGTCCTACTCTAGCTCTGTGACCTTAAGAAAGTTCTTAATCTCCTAGGCCCTTGGCTGTTCCATCTATGAAATGAGAACATAAACTGTTATGGCTTGTGTCTAGATGTCTCCCCTGAAGCTTCATGCACTCATAGGTAGGGCTTTGGGGAGTGATTGGATCATAGATGTGTGATATCAGATCATGGTGTGGGTCCACTGATTTGCTTAGGGTAGTTCTTGGTGTTGGTGATGGACTTACTGAAGAGGGAAGATCCACCCTGGTGTGGGTGGCACCAATCAACAAACTTGTAGCCTAGATAGAATAAAAAGGGAAAACTGAAGGAAGGCTGTTACCTCCTGCCTGCCCTGCCATGGACTGTTTCTCTTCTATGATACCCAGCTGCCATGTCACCCTGCCTTGGAGCCAGCTGAGTATAGACTGAAACCACTACAAACTCTGAGTCAGAATAAACGTTTCCTCCTTTAACTTTGTTCCAGCAATGAGAAAGTAATTAAGACACTAACAATGTACATAAAGGGCCATGTCAATGATTAAATGAATTAATACGGACACAGCATTTATAATACTCCCTGGCATAAGTAAGTACCAGAGACAAGAGCCACGTGCACAGCACAAAGGCGGGACTCCTGCAGAATCCAGGAGGTGGCACAAGGTGGGTGTTTCCCCACTCTGCAATGGCTCCAACTTTCCACCATGGAGATGGCCCAGGGCGGGGAGACAGGAGGCAGGAGACCATGCAAAACAAGAGAAAGAGAACCTGCAGCGGGAAGTTGCATCCATCTCAAGAGCACAGGAAACTGGAGGCCAGTGAGAGGTGCCCCATGGGCACAAGGGATCTCGATCACGCAAGGGCAGCTTGGGAGGGGCCTGCAGGTGTCCTGGGCTCCAGCTCAATGTGGAATCCATGAGGAGGCAGTCCAGCCCCTCCGCTTGCTGCTGTGTCTGAGTCAACAGGAGGGAGAGACAACAGCCCTACCCCGCAGCCCCTTCCATGTCCTCTGCTTCTCTGGACTCTGCAGAGAAGGCCCTTCTTCTCACAGGGCCTCTGTAGTGCTGATTTTAGGGGCCAGCATGACAGCACTGGCCAGCACAAGTAGCTGGGGAAGCCTTATTCCTGGGTGTGTCTCTGAGGGTGTTCCTGGGGGAGACTAGGAGGACTAGCTAGGAAAATCTGCCCTCACCTGGAATGGGCAGCACTGTCTTACTGGCTGGGGGCCTGGATCCATCACAGAGGTCAATTCTCTGCTTTCTCTCTCCTCTGGTGCTGGAACAATCTTCTGCCGTTGAACATGAGAACATGAGGTTCCCAAGCCCTTGGGCTCTAGGTCTTACACTGGTAGCATCCCCCTGCCCCCACTTTCTCAGGCATCTGGCCTTGGATGGAGAGTGACTCCAGCAGCTTCCCTGGTCCTCAGACTGTCAGATGTGGGCTGGGCCCTGCTGCCAGCTTCCCTGCTCTCCAGCTTGTGGACTTCCCACCGTGGGACTTCGCAGTCTCCATAATCACATGAGTCAATTCCCCTACTAAATTCTCTCCCATCCCTCCTCCTTCCTGCCTGCCTCTCGGTTCTGTCTGCCTGGAGAATCCTGCCTACTACGGACCCTAACTCTCCCCATGTCATTCTGTTGTTCCTGTCAAGGCTTCCCCAGCTACTTGTGCAGGGCTGTTGTCTCTGCCTCCTGTTGACTCAGACACAGCAGCAAGCGGAGGGGCTGACATCAGATCCCGGCCATCCTATCAGATATCTTCTTGAGTTCTCTTGGGAAGAATTGAAGATAGCGCTTTCGGATTGGCTCCAGGTGCAGGATTTAGGAACGTATCTCCTGCATCTCTGTGACTGCACAGGTCACACCCACTGGCCACGCCCTAATCTGAGTACCACCCAGCTCCTGTTCTGTGAATTCCTTGCAGGTCAGCGTGTGTGGAGCCTGAGATGACAACGCTTTGATAGAAAGCCCTGTTTGGGGGAAATAGTAAGAACAAGAGTAAGAGCTGTTGCTCCTACTGCTTAGTATGAGCATGTAACTACTGCATGTCCTACTGCATGTAACTCCATCTTCATTCTGCCCTTGACCCCTGGACAAAGTAAGTGGTGTTAGCAACTGTTTTACAGACAGGTATGTCGAGCCAGAAGTTAAGGGACCACAGCAGACCCCCAAATTTGAGCGTTGTGGGTGTTTGAGGATGCTTCAGCTTCCATCCAGGCACAGAGGCTGGTGGAACCAGGTAGGTCCTGCCACTGGTCCCTCTCCCCAGCACCAGACGAACCTGCCCAGGTAGCCTGTCCCTCAATAGCTCCAAGCCACAGAGGCAGGCAGGCCTCCTGGAAGAGGTGGCAAGGGGCTCAGCTCCTTGGTCCTAGTAGGAAGGACAACTTCAAAGACCAGAAATTAGGGTGGCACCCAGAGCGCCGGCTCCTGTCCACAAAGGAACAGCTGTAACCAGCACTCCAGAAAAGCTGACTGCAAACACTGCAGGCCTCCACCTTCACACGGGGTAGTGAGCGCAGTCCCGAACCTCTCACCTGGGCAGAGGCGTCCTGCTGGCACCCATCACACAACCAGCCTCCGCTTCTTCCTCCTGTGTGGTTGGTTCTTCGTTCTTCCAGCAAGTGGGAAAGGCCTGTTCTGGAAGGCGGCCCCTGCCAACAGCAGACACGGCACATGGGCCTGCGGCCAACAGCCCCAGCAGCAGCGTCTGCATGGGGGCTCTGCCTTCCACCCCACAGGAGCCCAAATGGGCCACTTCTCAGGGTTCTCTGGCTATTTCCTCCTCCCCCGCCAACCCACAGCACTGCTTCTCTTTGAAAGAACTTGCTCCTTCCACTAGGGTTTACACAGGACTCATCAAACCCTAGTATCTTCCAGGACCTTAGGAATTGACTGGTTTTTATTGACAGTATAGTTTTAAAATTACAATTTTCTTTGTGTCTTCTCTATTTCATTTCTTCTTCTTCTACCTCAGCGTGTAGGAGGTGTGGGGAACTGCTGTGTGGGTGCCTCACCTGTGGAGGCGTGCGATGGGAGAGCAGGCAGCACAGCCGGGAGCGCCTAATGTCATGGATGCCACACGATAGAAACTCTCAGTGAGTGTGAGGGCGCGGACTTTCTGGAAAAATGTATGTCTCACCTCCAGGCTCAGTGAGAGCAGGCTCTCAGAGGAGGACTGGCATGTGGGAAGCTTTTTAAGGACTGTCTCAGACTGAAACAGGAGGAGTCCGTTGTGGATAGCTTCAAGAAAAGCTGCTCTGGTGACCTGCAGACATTTGTCAAGATGGGACAGCCTTATAGAAATGTCCCAGGTTGAGAGAAGAGAGCTGGGCATTTGGAGCCCTGTGCCAACCAAGAATGGACCCAGGCCTTGGACAAGGGATTCTGTGTTCAGCTGGGCAGAACCTGAATGGCTGACCCCAAAGTGCCGGCCTCCATGCCACTCTGAGCCGCTGGGGAAGAGGGACTTTGTCCTGAAGAAGGACCTGGGGGCCGCTTCAGTGTCCACCACAGAATGGGTCCTTGGGTGGCTTTTCAAGCTCCCAAAGGACAGCAGATGCTGGGTCATAGTCATGTGTGAAAGAAGCCTGTGAATCTGGTGGGTGGAAGGCTGAGGTTCCAGCTCATACTAAGCAGAGAGTACTGGAGAAGATGTGGGAAGACTGACATTTTCATACTTTGCTCCTGGGCGGGTAGATTTCTAATTCTGGAAAGCGATTTGGTAATATCTATTTTAAAAAGAACACACTCCCATTTCCAAGCAATTCCACTTTTTGCACATGTTCCTTTCGGAAATTAAAGAACCACTGTGTTAGGATATAGAGAGAAAATGCCTCATGTGTGTATAGCGGCCAAGATGAAAATCATACAAACAAAACCCACCAGAAAGTAATCAGGATGTTCCTTAAATTGGAAACGGTGGAATAAAATGTACACTTTCAATGGTGCAGCTATCTAAAAGAATTAGATCTGTATGCGTTGGCTTGGAGGGGTGTTCACAGCACATTACTACAAAGAAAAAGATTTCAAGTGATACGTGTGCATGATCCTGTTTTTGAGTAAAAAAATCTACCTGCTAAGCAAGGATATGTATTGACATTTGTTTCTGCTGCAACAGGAAGCATGTGTGTTTTATTGATAAAAATTGACAAGGAAAATTTAAAGGAAATAAACTAAAACAACTTAGTCCGTCCATCCAAACGAAGGGATTCTTCACTCAAACTGTGGCCCTGGAGCCACAGGCAGGTCTTTTGCATTTTGCTGTGAGCTTCCTGGGTGGTTGGAACCTAGAAGACCGGGCAGCAGCCACTCCGCTATGGCTTTGCTTTCTCAGATGTGATGAGAAAGTTCCTGAAAGGAGGGGACCCCGAGATGTTAAGGAGACCAAATGTTGCAGAACTGCTCTGATCCTGAGATGGCACCGAGGAGAACGTGGGAAAGCTAGGATCCATGCCAGTGTTGCTGCTGGAGCTAGTACTGCTGCTCATATAGGTTGTGTATCCCTTCTGCTAAATGCCTGGACCAGAAATGTTTTGGGGTTTTGGATTTTTCAGATTTAGGAATATGTGCACATATACAATCAGCTCTCCTGAAAACAGGACCCAAGTCCCAATACAAAGGTTATTTATGTTTGATATGCAGTTTATGCACACAGTCTGAGGGTAATTTTATGCAGTATTTTAGTGCACCTGCATTTTCACTGAAACCCACCATATGAAGTCAGTCAGGTGTGGGGTTTCTACTTATGGGGTCCTCTTGACCCTCAAAAAATTCCAGATTTTGGAGCCTTTCAGATTTCAGATTTTCATATTTAGGACACCAATCCTATGTTAGTATCTGGACTTCTGTTGGTGCTTGTAGACATTCACATTCGCATTAGTATTTGTCTTTGTATTGATATTCGAATTCACGCTGGGGAGGTAGCTCAGTGGCACAGCGCCTGCCCGCAAGAACAAGGTTCTGAATTTGAGTCCCAGTACCAAAAACAAATATTCATGTTCACATTCTATCCCCACTGATGTCAGTATCAGCACAGTCGGTGGATACCAGCAGCCGGCAAGTGCCACACTCTTACTCTCTGTTCTCCATGAAGACGAGAGACTGTCTTCAGCAGAAACCACGAGTGTCAAGGCACGTGGGCTCTGTCCACCCTGGCCAGGCGTGGGGTGGAGGAGTGGCGTCCTGAGCCCTGATGCAAGCCCTGCGTGTGAGGGCGGGGCCTCAAGGCAGTGGGAAATTGCACTGGCAATGAGCCCAGGAAAGCAGATCCATATTAATGACAGTGTGGGACATAATAAGGGATTTTTTCCTACAAAACAAACTCAGAATCTGGGTCTCTGACCCTTTCCCTTTGCCCCAACACCCACTCAATGTGCACATGTGCACGTGTGTGCCTGAGCTCACACGCTTCCGCATACACACCCACACACACGCTGCGCGGGGTCCGGACAGTTGCCCAAACCAGGCTCTGCTTGCTTTGAGAACATTTGTTCGGAGGCTTATTCCGTAGATGGCAGCCTGCGGGTGGCTGGAGATAGTTCGATTATTCATGGTGCCTGCAGGGCCTCTGCACTGGTCTGTGGCAGAAATCCGAAGTCTTCAGGCTCCCCGAGGCACCAGCAGGCCTGCGTTTATGGCACCACTTAGCCTGTGGTCAGCCCTGAAGGGCAAGAGGGCCTCTGTGCAAATCAAGGCTTTGGAGGCTCAGCGACCCTCGATACCAAATGTGCTTCCAGGAGGGGCCAGCACCTCCTGTCCGCTCCTTCTTTGATCTCACATCATGTGTGAGCCGACCCAGTGTGAGACTTCACATCTCCGGGACCTTCCACCTGCAGGAGGTCAATACAAAGCCATGGCTTCTTTTTCATGTTATTTCACGACATAAAAGAAAGCAGCCGCCCAGGGAGCAAGGATCTGAGGAACACGCCATCCCCACATCAGTGGATGGGCAGGCAGTGGGGGAGGCTGGAGCAGACTGCAGAGAGCGGCTGCTCAGCCCTCTCTGGCTCGGCTTGGGAGCAGATGCTCACTCCTACCTGGGAACCATTTACGAATCTGGGACAGGAAAACACGTAATTCCCTGAAGCATAGTAACCGTCAAGCTCAGATAGCAAAATTAACCTCACAAACACAAGTCCATGTGCTTTTATTTCCCATCACTGGGAAGAATTGTACAGTCTTCAACTGAACCGTACCTGAGAGTTCATGCGTAACTTCATCAATTTTTACAGGTCCATTTAGCAGTGTGTGACAATCTGATCACTACACCAGAACCACCTATGAGCAGATCTCCACCACCCACCTTCCCCTCCACCACTACCATCCACCACCCCCATAAACCTCCACCTTCCCCACCCCACCCTCCAACAGGGGCCATGGGATAAATCAGGATTTGCAGCAGAAAAGCCTAGGAATCTGCATTTTCAACACTCTGGGTTATTTCTGCCCCCAACCATGTTCCAAAAGTACAGCTGGTTTATATAGTTCTGAGACCAACAGGAAGGACCCAGCACTGCCACACATTGATGTGTGATTGACCTGGGTAGCCTCCTCTGCCCTCTGGGAGCAGACTGGATTAGAATCCATTCTCGTGACCTCATTTTAATTTGGTTATTTTAGTGAAGACCATTTCCTAATAAAGCCAAGTTCTGAGTTACTGGTGGTTCAGACTTCATACTCGTGGTTCAGACTTCAGCTTTCCAGGGGGAAGGGACAATTCAACCCATATCCACACCCCTTTCCATCCACTAAGTGATTTCTAAGTTGAGTTGATCCCACACAGGCCTCCTTCAATTCCTACAGATCAGTCTCCCAGAATTCAAGGTGTCTGGCATGTCCATCTCCCTTTCAAGGCTGTCTCCAAGAACCACCTCTGGCCCTCTGCTCTCATGAAGCGAAAAGACCGCAACACAGACCTTCCACGCCTCAGAAGGGAGACTAGCATGGTGCCCCCCAGGTGCGGGGGTCATAGGCTGGCCCCGTCTGAGGGTTTCCAGCTCAGGCACCTGCGCAGCACACGCAGCACCTGATACGCACACCCCGGCCCTAGACATACAACAAAGGTTTCCACTCTGTGCTCCCCGCACTCTTCTCCTTCACAGGGGCGTCTCATATAAATGGAAAAAGCATCTCTTTGTGAAATTGACTATCTCCTGCAGCGTAAGTTGGAAGAATGTTTACTTATTTGGCCCCAGGGAATCATAAACATCTTGCAGCGTATGTTAACAGTTACTGCATAACACCATTCATTTTTAGTGTCTGAAATTACAAAATGTTCCCACCAGGATTTACCTCCAGTGGCGAACAGACTGATGAGCTCCGCTTTCCTTGTCTCTGGCCTCAGAGGGATGACATTATTGGCTCTGGCTTTCCCCCTTCAAAAATACAGCTTCTCTTGATGGCAAAAAAGCAGAGAGACCAGTCACCCGGGGCAAGTCTCACCACAAAACATCCATAAACGCCCAGATGGAAGAGTCAATTACCAGAGAGGATCGGTGGATTCCAGGAGTAGAGAGAAAGAGGGATGGAGGAGTTTGGGGGCAGTAAGGTTACTGTGCTTGAGTCTGTAATGGAGGATTCCCGCTAGGACAGGGACAGAGGGTAAAGAGCTCTCTCTTCAAAATGCACAGACACACGAAGAACGTACCCTCACCCACACAGAGGGCCGAATGTTGAGGATGTGCCAGGTAACTTCAGCATTCTAACAGTGTACCTGGGATAGTGAATTGTGGTGTCACCTTGAGCAGGAAATACCCAGCTTAGCACAGCTCTAGGTGTGTCCACATGATGGACTCACTGAGGAACAAGACCCGCCCTGGGTGTGGGTGGCACCAACCCATAGGCTTGTAGCCTGGATGGAATAAAAAAGGAAAGAGAAAGTCTCGCCTCTGCGTCTTCAGAGGAGCTCAGTGCAGACCCCTTGGCTTCCTGATACGGGCTCCTACAGGAATCTGCATCGAGCTCAGGACCTCCGCCTTTTGACCGGATGCTCAGGCTCTGCAGCGAGCAGACGGCGCTTTTGCTCTCTTCCACACCTGACTTTTCAGCCAGCCATCCTTGTGCGCCCGCCCACCTTGTAAATCATATATATATGCCTCTGTGCCTTCTTCTCAATTTTGTTGTGAACCAAACTGCTTAAAAATAAGGACTATTTTTAAGAACCACTTGCTAGGAAATAATGGCAAGCATGAGAGATGCACTAAAACAATGGTTCCTGAATACTGGTAATTAAGCCTGAAACAGACCTAAGATGCATTTAAAACACAGCCGGCTGAAGCCCACGCCCCACACCCCACTCTCCTGACCACTGTTCAGTGCGTTTGTGCTGCTCTCACAAAGAACCTCACACGGGGTCATTGGTAAGCAACAGGAAATGAGTTCTCGTGGTTCCAGCGGGTGGAAGTCACGGTACCGGCAGATCTGTCTGCAAGGGCCGCCCACTGCTCATTCCTGTTGCTACATCCTCAGAGGCAGGAGGGACAGGGGCAGAGGGTAAAGAGCTCTGTCTTCACAAAGCTGCTGATCTCACTCCCCCGGAGACTCAGCCGCCTCCCAAAGGCCGCACCTCTCAGTGCCGTGGCACTGGGATTAAGTTACAACATGGACTTTGCAGCGGACATAACCCGAGCTCCCTCCAAGGTCAGGAGCCTAGCAGGGAAAGGAGAGGACGCGCATTTTTAAAGGAGGAGAGAGAAGCAGAGCGAGGTTGGGGACACAGTGACAGAGCCCGAAGACGGTCACCCGGCGTCCCTCCCATGTGGCTGCCCAGCTGCTCCTTCGGAGCCTCCTTCCAGCTCCCGCGGGCATTCTTGGTGCCCGTCATGTGGGCCACCTGCCCTCACACTGTCACCGCACTCCCTCTTCCTCCCGTGGATCCCATCATCCTCCTGATGCCCACTTGGGTCAGCCACGTCCCTCTGGGGCCACCGCTCCCACTTCCTCCGGAGCAGCACTCGCCACTGTACCAGTCTCCTCCGGTCTACCCCACTGGGCCACGGACGTCTGCAGGGTCTGACCTGTCTCCTGTGCCAGCCGGGGTCCTGCCTGCCAGGACCACGCCGCCTGCCTGAATGGCAGAGAAACCCCTCCCAACCCCACTTGAATCCTCTGGGACCGGTGCCCACCCGTGTGGATGAGCGCTCCCTCCCTCCCACCTCCTCCTCCCTGAGCCCTTAGTCCTGGTCTGCAGCTCCCTCACATGCTATGACTTGGTCTTTTCTTCCTCTACTCCTCCACGTATAGACTCCCAGAGTGCCCAGTGGTGCCCTGTGCACACTCATGGGCGGGGCATCGCTGGTACAGAGGGAACGACTCAGGAACGCAGGGTTCCAGCCTCACATTTACGGGGAATTTGCTGCTAATCTTTGCAGCAGGGGCTACTGCTCTTCTGAGATTCGGGTGAATTAGATGGAGAGAAAACAGGCTTAAAGCTCCCTTGAGCTGGGGTTCCCTAAGTCTATAGTTCAAATACGCCCAGAGTTCCCATGCAGCCTGGACCCAGTGATGCCATCCAGACGACAGGATGACCACCCCAAGAGCATAACTTATCACCAGGCCAACTCAGGCCCCAAAGCAAAGCCCACTCACCTCCAGCAGAGAGTCTCGGTCACACCAAGGCCTCGTCCTCACCGTGCCCATGACCCGCTGGTCCTCTGCCCAGCAGAATGTTGACTGGGGCGGATCTGACTCCACCGCCCCCCACCGGCGTCAGCAGACAGGAAAGCAGCAGCCCCTGCAGCGAGCCTGGAGGCTGTAGGAGGGTACCCCTGCTTCTGGGAGGGGGCTGCAGGCTGAGCTGCCCCGCTGGAGACCCCTGGCTGAGAGACCCTGGCAGATGAGGCAGGCCAGCCCAAACGGGCGGGGTGAGGGTGATGTTCCTCTCTCCGGGGCTGAGGGAAGGCCCCCAGCAGTGCCCCTACTTTATCAGGACACCCCACTTCTTCCTCCCTAGGACTGAAGGAGCTGTCATAGTGGGGATTCTTCAAAGCACCCGTCCCCACCTGCACCGTTCGTTGCCACTGCAGTGTCGTGAGCTTCCACCTCAGACTGTAGCAACCTCCGTGTGGGCCTGGGGAGAGAAGCGGATGCCAGGGATGACAGGAAGGCGGCTGCCTGTGTGCTGTGACTTCATTCAGTTGTCCAGTAAACACAGAGTGTTGTAGGCTGCCCTGGTCCCATGCTTAGAAAGTCTGCTGACTCCTAACCCATCCAGTGCATCCCTGAATTTTATCCTTAAAAGAACATTTGTTATTGGGGCTGGGGATTTAGCTCAGCGGCAAAAGCTCCTGCCTGGCAAGCGCAAAGTCGTGAGTTCGGTTCCCGGTACCGGAGAAAAACCAAAAAAAAAAGAAAAAAAAAAAGAACATTTGTTATGATGTCAAAGTTCTCCATATGGAGGGGAGGCACAGGTCTGTATTAGCCACTTACTCCTCCGTTAAATCATCTGCTCTTTTGCAGAGCAAGCTTTTATTCATGGAAGGAAAAGAAAACTAACCTTTCAAGGGGCAGCACAAGTGCGTCCTCCACAGAGGTGAGCGTTCTCTTGGGATGAGATCAGCACCCTGGATTTTCATTGCTGGTTCTTATTGTCAAAGCGCTATTTCTTGTGTGGTCTTCACAGCATCCTTGCAAGTGAAACATTGAACGCAAGTATTGCTGCCCCATGCAACAGTCTAAGAAAAAATAAATACCATGTTTACTTGAACCTGACATTTTCTACTTTGATTTTTAGCTGAAAAGCACAAGAGAACTTTAACTTTACAAAGAATTGTGGCATTTTTAAGGGAACTTGATTTGCTATTCATTCATTGGGAACAAGAGTATTTAAATGCTTATTAATATTGTAAGTTTATCCTGCTGGGCATGTGAAGTATTAAAAAGTAAACATATTAATTTATAAATGTGGTTGGAGATGTTTAAGAGAATAGAATTAACTAAGTTTGTAAGTGGAACTCACTGTCACCTGTACCCCTGAGTTCACTGAAAATCAATGAACATGTGAAAGTGTTTGTTATTTTTGGTTACAGTGATCAGGACAGGGAGAAGGAGGAAGAATCTGACGTTGATGCTAAAGTCATAAAGAAAACGAGCCTTCCGCATCTGAGCTTGGTTTGTTGTCCAGCGGGCGTCTCACAAGGCCCCAGAGCAGTTGGTCGAACGAGTCTCCCTGCTGCCCCGTCTTCTCTTTCATTCCTATCCCAAAAGAAAACCCCAAGAACTGTCAAGGGGTGTTCGCCACCCAACCGCCTCTTGCAGTGCTCCCCAACTGGCTCCCCGGATCATCGGGATTGTTGTCACTGACCCCTGACCCTCGCTGCTGCCACCCTGACCCCTCTAATCTAGTGTCAACTCAGCAGCCAGGGGCAGCCTGTTGACAAGGTTGGTCATGTGGCTTGTCCACCGGAAACCCTCAGCAAGGAATCCGGAGACCTCACGGTGCCCACGGGCCGAGCACACAGCCCCAGCAGGACCCCAGCGTAGGTGTGTGCATTTTTCTAGGGAAAGAATCCAACAGTTTCTCCAGCTCCTCTAAGGAGTCAGTGAACATTTAGGGTTCTTCATGTTAGAATCATCATTTGTCTAGAAATACTCCCACTAGCTCTTCACCTGGATTCCAACTACACCCTCATGGACCGTGTTGGGAGAATTTAATGAACTCTTCACAATGACTGCAACTCTTTACAGACATTTGTGATCAGTTTTTTCATTTTTAAAATGATTTTTGTGTTTGTGCTGATCCACCCTTGAGTTAAACTTTCTTGGAGCATCAGCTTTTCGTTCACAACAAAGCTGTCAAATGCTTTCAGAACATAAAGTCTTTCCTTAAATCTGTAGTTGCATAGGCCTCGTCCTACCCCTAGGGAATCAGAACATTTTACTGGAGTATTTCTGTGTCTTTATTCATATGGACATAACAACACTTCCTCCTTTCCTTCCTCTCTTCCGCAAGCATTTATTGAGCATGTATTGTGTGCCAGGTCAGTGATGAAGAACACAGTATCCCTGCCTTCTCGTCACTTGGTTAATGGAAGAGAGAGAAGTAAGTACATAATTATACAACGTAGTGCATGTTGTCCCAGAGCTGCCCAAGGTGTAGAGCAGCCAGGTGGCCAAGGTCAGGGGCTGGGTTTAGTGCCTTCCCTCTATCACTACCTAATCCCGCAGCCTCCCACATGTTTATGTAACTGTGTCTTTTCCTCAGCTACAAGCCATAGAAAGGTGCCGGCTTCATAAGGCTTTTTGTGAGCCTACCATGGGACAGTGCTGGAAGGTTCTGGAGAGAGCTCAGCTTGTATCCTTGTCCTTGGCCATTAGGTTAGGGCAGCATGAAAGAAGGAGTGAAACTGTGGTTCACTCAGGAGTTGGGGACGGCTTCAAAGGAGAAGACAAAGGATGAATCTTTTCCTGGGAAGGCAGGCAGGGACGGGCTTTGCAGAAGAAGGAGCATCCAAGTCCCCATCAGGTGAGAGTCTGATGGGTGTGTGCTTTACAAGAGCCTCTCACACGCAGCCAGGGAGGAAGGGGTTAGGGCCGGGAGGTGAGTCACAGTGCTGGCCACGTCCCGCGTCCCTCGGCTGAGAAAGGGCTGTGCCCTGGATGAAGACGGAGGGGAGGCAACAGAGCAGGGGCCTCAGAGGCAGAACAAGTGGGACTGGCCACACACCCAGCAAAGGCGAGGGAAGGCCAGGACAGAGGAAACATTTATCTGTAGGACTTCAGGGCCCTTGCTCAAGGCTGCCCAGGATCTCACTGAGCACCATCAGCCCCTTAGCTAGTAAGCATGTAAGACCCCTCCGAGCTGCTGATCAGATTCACGGGGCCACTGAAACTGGGTTCTGGAGCAAGAAAAGAAGCCAAGGCTTCCTCAAACTCCGGGAAAAGCTGAAGAGAGATTTGGGGAAAGAAAGACAGCGCCTCTGGGTGCCAAGACATGCCACCCTGCCATCTCTCTTCTCAGGACCCTTGCTCAGGGCTGGCGTTTGTCACACACGAGATTCAGCCTGGCCCAGGAAGACGCAGCAGGGTGCCCAGGACAAGGTGAGGCAGCCATCCACGCACGCGCATCCCTGCCTTGTCACGTGCTCGTAGGCCTCAACAAGGCAGGCAGCAAGACCCAGCTGTGGATGCGGAGCCAGTGCCCGTCTTCTTCCCACCCTCCCCTGTCCCCTTCTCCAAAGCCCAGGAGAAGTTCCCGGCTGCGTACCAGACCTCTCGCTCCATTCCACCACAGCAGGTACAGCAGGCTTTTTTGGGTTTGGGGACTTGGGTTTTGTTCTATAAATCGATGTAACAGCCAAACCCCAAATATTAAACAGGTCTCTGTTTTCCTCTTGTTGCTGCTGTTGGTGCTGCTGCTACTGTTGTTGTGACTGCTGTTGTTTCTAAGTGCCAAATACACAAATCTGCGCACTTTCCCCCAAGAATAACCATCCTTCAGAATTGAAATGAGGCTTCCATCGAGAATTCTCTTCTGTTCTTGAGATGCCGAGTGTGAGAGCCCTAGGACTAAGTGAAATAAAAGTACCAAGCTTCCTACAAAGACTGTGGAGGTCTGCAAAGCCGTGGTAAAGCCTCAGGTGTTGCTGAGTGGCTGCTCCTCTCAGACTCCACCATTTTCTTCCATCAAGGAGAGAGGAGACCACGCCTGCCAGGGAATGGAGGGCTCCTCCACTTCCTCATACAAATAATCCCGGCAACACTTTCTCCTCACATTCACCCTGTCAGGCCCTCCCCTTTGGATTGGCTCCTGAGTCTCCTTAGTAAGAATAGTTTAAAAATCAATCAAACAGAATAACTCTACAGATTTATTTCAAGAGTTCAAGAGGCTGAGACAGGAGGATTGCCATGAGTTCTAAGCCAGTCTAGACCACACAGGGAGTTCAAAGTCAGCCTGAGCTACATAGTGAGACCCTGTTTCAGAAAACCAAAAGGAAAATGAAAGAGTTCAAAGAGAGTGCAGGCTCCACCTTAATGATTTCACCTAAACCGAATCACCTCGCAAAGTGTTACCTGTCAGTGCCATCCAATTTCCCAGCCCCTTGCTGAGATCTGGTGTCCACAGTCCACCTCAACATGCCATTTGGTAATACTCTCGGCCGTGGCCCTCAGAACTGAGAGGAGCTGTACTCCCACAGAGCTCAGCTCAGCCCCCGAGGCTGCAGGCTCAGGCTCCCAGGCCACAGCCGCAGGCGCTCAGCAGCTCCTGCCCCATGCACACCCACGGGACCCAGTCTCCCCATCCCGCCATGTCAGAGACCCTTCTCTTGTGCTAGCTTTTCCTCACCATAATAAAGTATCCAAGATAAGTAACTTACGGAGAGAAAAGGTTTACCTTGGCTCATGGCTTTGGAGATTGCAGTCCATGATTTATTGGTCCTGTTACTTGAGCTGGTAACAAGACAGCACATCAGGATGGGAGCCCATGGGAGAGAAGAACTGCTTACGTCATGAGCCAGGGGGCAGAACAGGGCAGGGAAAGGGCCTGCATCCCACAATCCCTTTCAAGGGCACTGACCTAAGACCTTCCAGTACATCCACATCCTAAATGCTTCACCAGCTCCCACTGTCACCACCCTGGGCACCAAACTTCAGCACATGGAGGACAGTCAAGGTCCAAACTACAATATCTCCCACCTTCGCTCTGCCTTTCTGTGTTCAAGAAACCGATCTTCTTTGCAATCCTTGGTGGAGAAAACAACCTGGCCTCCTCCCCCCTTCCCTCCCCCTCCTCTTTCTTCTAAGGGTACTAAATCCCATCATGAGGGCTCCACCAACCTGATCTCATCTAAATCTATTCACTTTCCAAAGAGCCTACCTCTTCATGCTGTCACATTGGGGGTTAGGACTTCATGTGAATTTGGGGGAAGACACACTCGGTCCATAACCGAGTCAAAAGCCAAAAAGATCTGGCTGTGCCTTTTGCCTGAGAGACAGAAACTTCTTCAAAGCTAAGAAGGCTTTTTGTCTTAAACGATGAAGCTGACATGATTGATCTGCAGGGATTTTATCCTCAGTGGAGGAAACAGGTGGAGAACACATACACATCAAGTCTTCTGTGGGGTGAATTGCTGTGCCTCTTGATGGGCTATAGCGTCATGAAGGGGAACCTTTTAGAGCTTTCAGGGACACTAACAGCCCGCAGTGATGAAGGCTGCAGGTTTGCCACCACTGCTCCAGAGGAATGAGGGCCCTGAGCCTGGGTTTTCCCATTATCTGTTCAGAGGACGCCACCGTCACGGCACAGCGTATGTTGCAGACCCCAAGAAGACGGAAATAGATGCTTCTACTTGTATCTTCACAGGAGTCAAATCTCAGCATTGAAATGGCTTTTGACGCCACTCTGTTAGCCCCCACTGCTGTGATCCCTTCTGTATTTCTACCAATCACTATTCAGCTTGTTTTCCAATGTGAAGCACCAGAGCACTCACTGCGTTCTAATTTCCCACTTGCTGATGTGCTTGCTTGATTCCGAACACACACATATACACACACACATACACACATACACACACACACACACCGCTTTTTGAGAAGTGGTGAGTATAGTGTAGGAGAAAAGACCGGAGCTTTGGTGTTGCCTGGGCCTTAAGTCCCATCTCTGCCATTTTTTTTTTCTGGATTTAAGAAAATGTTTTCCCATTTTTAGCTTTACTGTTGTCAACTGCTAAAAAGACTGGAAGGATAATAATACCCACTTCCTGGGATTTTTGTGAATTTGCTGAATGAGACACACACAGCCCAGAGCTGGTCTCTGTTCTTGCTGGTCCCCCTCTCTCCTCTCCTCACCCCTCCCACTCAGCCTTTTGCTCATTCCCGCGGTATGGACAGCTTGAATGACAATCTGGATTAACCCTGAAATACTGTACCCAATATACTGCTGATGGACACACCACAGAAACCGTAAAAGAGTCATTATGTGGAAAGGGAGGCTCTTCCCTGGCAAGTAGACTCATAAATCCATGGCGACAGTTAATGTCCTCTCAGCTGTGAATGCTTCAAGGCCATGGATCTCTCCTTCCACCCCCCCAGGTCTTTGTGTGTAGTAGGAACCCAAGAGCTGTTTCCAAATTGGATTGTGTTTTCTGTTATATACTTAATTTCAGATATGGAATGGATAACAGCAAAAATATAAATAATATTTGGGCGTCTGTTACTTTGGATTTCTAGCTCCCACGTAGGAATGTAGAGGCTTAATTTTTGCACTTCAACAGTCAAAAAGAAAGTTTGTGTTCTTCAAAACCTACTTAACTCTGAAGGCTACTGCATTCATAACTAGGTGGTAGGCATTAATCAAACTTTTGTAAACTTTAGCTTTTTCTTCATATGCAGGCTGGAAATATCACTGGGCAGGGTCCAAGGAAGTCCCAAAGCAGTTGTAGCTTTGCAGACTTCCATCACAGAAAAGGAATTTTCAGGACACATCAGTAAGAGGCATAAAGGGATTTATTGGGCAGGATCTTAAAAATACATGCTTAAAAAAATAGAGTGTGGGCCAGACAGACAGAGACAGAGACAGAGAGAGGGGCAATAGAATCTGGGGCTGAGTATATTTATGGAGGACTCAGGGGTACAAATTAGTAGAATCTGTGCATCTATAGTAAGAGGGGATTAAATTTACAGAGGTAAGGAGGCAGCTCTTTCTACAGGGTAAGGTGACAGCCATTGCTGGTGGCAGAGCTATAGCTCATCCGTAGGGCAAGGCCCATTTTATAGGTGAGAAAAGATGGTGTACTCACAGGTGAAAAAGGCCTGTTTATAGCTATAAGGGAGTGGCCTGCTAAGGACCTTGTGTCCTGAACCTGCAGTTTTTATTTAAAAAAAAACAATTATAAGATTACAATTGTCCTTGTCTCCATTTTTTTAACTTTAAAGAGAAAAAACAATGATATAAAATTTCAAAGCAAGGCAGTAGGAAATAGTGGTTAGTACATTGCATATTGTTATCTTCAAAGTAGTTCCTCATATTACAAAATATAGGCATGAAAAACTGATCAAACAATATAAGCACAAACCTTTCTTTTCAATGAACTAAGAGAAATTAGTAGTACAGCTATCTTAATATATAAAATATATTGTATACAATAATATATACAATATATACAACTTAATATATACAACTGTCTTGTGTATATATTTTTTTTCCTTTTCCTTCCTTCCTTTCTCCTTTCCCCCATCCCAGTTTCTCTTTCCTTTTGAACAGTTTCTTCCCATTTCACAATATCTACTGTACCTTTTGGATCTTATTTACTCTTTCAGCTTCTCACACGAGGGAGGCAATACGATGTCCACACATGTGGCTCTAATTTATTTCACTTATGAATATGGTCTCCAGCTACATCCATTTACCTGTGAAAGCCCCTTGTCTCCGTTTTGCCTATCTTATTTCTCCTTTCCTGCCTCAGCACTACATTTCTCCCTTTACAAGCCTGGAATACTTGAAAAGTTTATTTTTCATCATCCTTATATTCATAGTCATTGGCTCGGTGATGGGCAACATTGGTGAGTAGACGGTAGGTCTGAGACTTGGGGTATGTTGAATGCACTTGCTGAAAAATATAATAAAAGTAGAATTTTGGACTGAATTTAAAGATCTAGTGTACGCATCATTTACTTTGAGTAATTTAAAATTCATGTTCTAATTTAAAATTTAATGCTATATTCTGCCTGGCTCACCGGATTATGATATAAGGTATCATCGGACCAGAAGTTACCCCAGAACCATGGAGATGAGGCACTGTCTGAATGAATTTGATACAAATCAACATGTAATGAGGAGCTTAACAATCGCTAAGATAACCCTTGCCAAGAGATAGTTTGTAAATGTGTTGCTGTTACAAACTTAGGAATCACCTATATCCAATAAATGCAATTAAAATGTGACTTTAGAGAGTTAATTTTTTTAAATGTGGTGGTCAGCAAACAGCTCTGCAGCCCAGAGCACTTGTGCCCCCCGCCCATCGCACTATCAGCGCCGTGAGAGCAGAGCTTCTTTCTCTACAGTAGCACTCAGGTCCCAGTGCAGATCTGGCTACACCATTCACTGGGGGTTTCTAGAAAAGCTTAGAGGTTCTCTTCTTAACCCCTCCGGAATCTAAGCCACTTGGGAATCAGTGCTTCTGCTTTCTTAAAGACAGAGCAGGACACTGAAGCAGGTCCTACTGCTTCCTCCCTCGGTGAGCTCCTGCCCCTGGGGAAGTTCAGTCTGTAGTTTAGAGCTTCACACAGCTAGCTTGCTTGTATAGATGGGCAGTGAGGCTAGTAAGTATGGAAAGCCATCACCTGCAGGAAACGAAGGGGCTTACTGTTAAGACACTGTGAAGGGCCTGAGATTTTATCCTACCTGTAAGCTGACAAAGCACCCTGTACCTGCCTCATGGGTGCTGGCAGAAGACATGAGACTCTGGGGTCAGAGACAAACAGCTTTATTTCTCACGCAGAGGTAGGAGCAAAGGTGTCATCGTGATGCTCACACCAGCACCACTTCCCCCCAGGTCCCACGGGGACAGTGCCGGTGGCCAAGGTGAACCTGAATGTGCAGGGCTGCTCACTTCTTTAGTAGTGTGTGGCGGTGAGCCAGCTCTTCCTACGGGGGAGCTGCTGTCTCCTCCCCCGAGGCTGCTGCTGCAAGTGCCGTCCAGGAGAGCGGCCTGGTAAGGGGCACTTAGCGTCTCCTATTCACAGCGAACATAGAAAGAACACGTAGGGTGTTCAGGCCCACAGCTGATCCCTCTCCCAACACCAATCAGATGAAGACTCCCTTTCCTGTGGAAGGGGAAGAGGGACAGGGAAGGGAAAAGGTTATCCACACACCTCTCTGCTGGGGACAAAAGCAAGGTTCCCTCCTGGGGACACATCCAGCATCTTTCTCACTTAAGCCACTGGATTTGACAGGTTAATGGGTGATGGCCGCCCCTTGTTGGGTGTGGTAAGAGCAGGAAGATAACCCTGCTCCCACATGGGTGGGATATGTCAAAACCTGCTGTTGTCCCTTTGATTATCCTCTTGGGACAAGTCATAAGCAGTTCCAATTTTGCCCGCTGCAATGCTTGGCTTTATGGGTCCACATGGCGAGGCTACAGCACCCAGTTATTAATCAGGCACTAGCATAGGCGCTGTGTGAAGACATTCTGTAGAGACAGTTACCCTCCACAGTCAGTTGATTTGCAAGCAAGGGCAAGGGCCCTTAATTAATGTCAGTGGGCCGCATTCATATGTTGGAAGACCTTGAGAGCTAAACTGGGGCTTCTCTGAGGAGGGAAAGAGTATCCCCCAAGACTGTGACACCCACTCCCCTCCAGCTGTCCTTCCTGCCTCAGATTTGCCAGCCCCATGACTGCAGAAGCAAATTCCTTGAAATCTCTCCTACTTTCTATTTCTCTGGAGAACTCTGACAGATCTACCCACACATCTGCAGCAGGTCAGCCAAAGACACTAATTTAATAAAGCTCTCGCTCTGCTATATCCTTGGTCTCCACACAGCTTGCTATGTTTTTGTTCAGGGTCTCAAATCTCTTGGGAAGTGGAAAGAAACATACAGTGAGAGTCCAGCCACTGTGAGACAACAAATTGGCATGTTTCCTGGGCTGCCCATTTTTCTAAACCAAAATATCAGAGCACATAATCTGACAGGTATGAGTGTACCTACGGGAAAAAGCAAAGAGAATACTGTTTTTGAAGCCGGTCTGTTCCAAAAAGTCTAGGCCATACAATAGCTGTGTTTGTATATCATGTGGGTTTGCTTTGCCTAGGCACTTACCCTGGCCAGATAAGCATCTGCACAGCAAAGGACACACTCAACAGAATGAAGAGACAACCTACAGAATGGAAGAAAACATTCACAAATCATTATCTGACAAGTTAGCAACCAGCTAACTCACATACATGTGATACACTCACATCAACACATCCTCAGCAGCAGCATCTAACAAAATGGGCAGTAGAACTAAATAAATATTTCTTAAAAGAAGTACACAGATGACCAATAGGTATACAAAAAATGGTCCGCAACAAGGAAATCCAAATCCAAACCGCAACAAGACAGCACCTAACTCCAGCAAGAATGGCTGCTGTTAAAAAGACGAAAGATAAGAAATGTTTATACAGACGCGCAGAAAAGGGAGCCCTCGGGTGATGTGGGTGGGAGTTTAAATTAGCACAGCCTTTACGGAAGACCGAATGGAGGCTCCTCAAAAAAAGTAAAAGTAGAGCTACCATACAGTCCATCAATCCCATTTCTTGGTGTATCTAAAGGAAATGAAATTGGCATGGTGAAGAGACATCTGCTCACCCATGTTCACGGCAGCACTATTCACAAAGGCTAAGCAGCGGAAAGAGCTTGAGTGTCCATCGCACAACCTAGGTTATCCTAGAGATAAGCAGATAAAGGAAGTGTGGTGTGTATACATGATGGGATACTACTCACCCATATAAAAGGATGGAATCCTGCCATCTGGGAAGACAGATGGAATTGGAGGGCATTATGTTAAGTGAAATGAACCAGCTATGGAAAAATAAACTCCCCAGGATCTCACTCATGCGGACGCTGAAAGAGTTAATCTCCTAGACATATCATCCAGGGTCAGTCTGACCTTTCACCCTGTCCAGACAGGCTTCCTACAGAAGGTACCAATGGCTGCTCCAAGCCTCTGGGCCCAAGGCCCTTCCTCATGTGCTGCTTTTGAGAGGGACAGGAGCTACAAAGTATTAATCCACTCCTCTTCTGCACTTGCATCTTTCATGGGCTGTTAGCTCCAGAGCGCAAGAAGCTGCCTTCCCAGATCCCGGGGCCGGACCTGATCCAGTCCAAGTGCTAAGTGCTCTTGTTCCAAAGGGAGGGAGAGGGGTCAGGGAAGAGTGAAACAGGCTTTGCAGATAAGAAAGCCCAGTGAAAGGTGAGAGCAGGGCCCTGCTGAGACAGGGGACCTTGGCTTGAACACTGCCCACTTAGCTGTGAGGATCACTCTGAGCAAGTGGCCGGCTTTTCTGACCTGCAGTTTCCTCGTCAGTAGCCACGGGGTAGTAACAGCGACCACTTCAGAAGGAGAAGCCAGGCAGCGTCTGCAGAGCGCTCAGCAGAGAGCCCGGCAAACAACACTCCGCATAGGCTAATGTTATTACGACAATTCTGATGTCACCACTTTTGACCTGCAATTCCACATCTATAAAGTGAGGAACTAAACCACATGACCCTCCACCTTCTTCCAGTCCAGTAGTGCTAAGACTCAGTAAGATAGAAGTCAGCTTTCACTTTAATCATCTCCACTTCACACAAGACAAAGGACACAGAGGAAAGTTGCTCGAGCTTGGCTGGATTCTCCCTCAAGCTTTAAGGGCAGCTCTGACATCCAGCTCAATCTAGAGCCTGCTGCTGCTAAACCCAGCAGAAAGGCTCCCACCCCTGGTTCCGCCTTCCCCAAACTGATTTAGGTCTTGCTTCTTGTTGCAGCTTATTAACACTGAGCTAATAATGAATCTCACATTCAGCACACCATGACCGCTGTTGATTGTCACACGGTGCCTCAGGTTAGCTGTACTGCGTTATATATTCAACCACACACAACTGGCTGAAACCAGCACACAGTTACCTCTCGGATCCCTGCAGACTTTAGAATGTTTTCAGGACTGTAAATTTCTTAGAAAATTGAATGAATTCTTCATCAAACAAATGGCAACTTTCATTGGACAACCGATGTTGAACAACCGAGGAGAAGAATCTCAAAAGCACTGTCCTCAAGAAACATAAATCACCTATGATCAATTTCGATGACTCCCAGCGCATGCATCATTTCAGTAATAAAACTGTTTGGGAAAAGACTGAAAGGCTGTGTCTCTTAATCTTATACTCCCCGCATCTGTTATTAAATGTGTCCAGGGTGACAATGGATTATGGATTCATCTGAGAAACCATTTAATTCCTCAGATCTATCGAGACTCGAGTGGAATTCGTAAGTGGAATTGGACAGAAGATTTGTCACTTGCTAGAGTTAGTCTTTCATGCTGAGACGTATGGCTGCTTTTTCTCCATTAACGAATCTTTCCCTACTTGAAAAATAATAACTTCTTAAGAGTCGTTCTTATCTGGGACACACAGGGTAGAGCAACTACGATTTTTCTTACTTCAACATTGCACTTCTCCTCCAGTGAAAGATCTCTTCTACCTTTTCTACTAAAGGTTGGTTCTATTCCTCTCTACTCCTCCCCTACACAAAGTCAGCTTAAAATTAGGTTTCCGTGGGTTTCCTAATTTAATAATGAATCGTCCATCTCCCAACTCATGACTCCTAAGTAGCCTATGAGGCCCTCAGCGGATGCCCCTCGGAAGCTCTGCCAGGGTTCTTCCACAGACCCAATGCCATGTTTCTCTGCCAGAGCAACTTTGCCCAGAGTCTGGACACCACTGGACGGCCAAGCCTGGGAGGTAGTAGGTGCTAGCAGCACCGAGAGACTAGAGGCCAGGATGCTGGTAAATATCCTACAGTGTACAAGACAGCCCCACAGCACAGGGTCAGCCTACCCAAGCTGCCAATGGTGCTACGTGAGAAATCTGGACCTAGAATCACCCTAGGCACATAATAAATGCTCAAAAACATTGACTGATGGGATACAACTGGCTTGGTTCACATGAAGGCAGAGGAGAGTTCAAAGTGGGTGGGGCAGTCAGGGGATTCATGAAGGAGGTGGGCTTAGTGGAAACTTGAAATCATGTGTAGCTATTGGGTGGAGAAGAAGGAAATCCAGAGACATTTTTAAATGAGATAGCAATAGGAATTCTTAGGAACACAGCACAGAAGGCAGAGAGGACCTGCTCTATCCGCTGAAACACTTCATAGTAGAACAAAACCCAATAACAAATCCAAATGAATGATTTTCAAACAACTGACATTGTGTGTTTTGGAGTGGGAATTGTGAAGAGGAGTAGGGAAAGAATTACCTTTACTACCATATATGTCTATATACACAGCACCACTGATTCATCTTAGCATCATTTTACAAATGAAAAAACTGACACAGAAAAACATTAGCCATAAAATTTGGAATTTTGTGCTTTATCATTCAGTCAATTTGCCTCCTTCTGTGTTCTGACATGAGTTGGGTGTTATTACAGACAACAAAATTACTTCATGTTGCCAGGGTGTATGGGAGGGCTGGTTCCATCACTCATGACCTTAGCAAGAAGCTGAAGTCGTGGATGTTAATTCATTGTGTAAATCACACAAAACATGGCTAGGTGCACAGGACATGCTGTCAGATGGGCTGTTTTTATTATCATCGTTCTTTCCAGTGATGTCTCCTTAACACCCTAGCCTATAAGTCCTCACTTGATTTGCCACCAAGCCAGGAGCACTGGCACATCTGGTAGAGGAGGAGTTAGCACAACCTCCTCACAACCTTCTCATTTCGATAGAACACTTTGGTGGGTCTCTCAGTAAATAAGCATGCACAGGCTGCAACTCTGACAGCTGAGAGACAATTCCCACCACAGAGAGAGACAGAGACAGACAGACAAACAGACAGACACAGACAGACAGCATGCACATGTATGTGGAGAGTTTGTAAAAATGGACAGACACCCTGGAATTCCTGAGAACACAGCGTTGGGCTGTGGGTAGTGGAGGACACTCAAACATCCTAGTAATCAACACTTTTACATGAACCTTTGCTTCAAATTTTCAAAAACCAATGGGCAAAGGACTCCTCTGGCATGTTTGTCAGCTTTCGGTACTGTCACATGTAGCTAAGCTCAACTGCTGGTAAAGGGAAAAGGTTTATCCTGGCTTACAGTTTTGGAGGTTTCACTCCCTGGCTGGTTGGCCTCACACCTTTGTGATGAGTCAGCACCTCACAGTTTAGTGGGAGGCTAGGGCACGGCAACACAGCTGGTGCAGCTGAGCACAACCAACCAGCTGAGCAGACATTAACCACAGGTACAGAGCAGCAACACCTGAGCCTGACATAGGCTCAAGCTGAGCCCTGCGCTCGGTGCTAACCTTCAGATATGAAAGCACACTGAACCTGGCACCTGATAGCAACCTTCTAGCATGAGGTAACTGGGACCGCCTTTGCCAGCCTTCAGAGAAGTCAGAGGATGGTGGATGGACTTGGGGGCCACTGGTGTCTTGCTCTTGCAGGAGTCCCTTCTGCATGCAAGACATAGCTTCTCTTTTCCCTTCCAAGCACTCTTCTCTCCCTGAGCATTTCTTTGATGCTTTTTTCCCTTTTTCATTTCTTTTTCTTATTTCTGCCCTAAAATAAATGGTGATCTTTCACATCTACCAATTGTCTTGACCAGGTCATTGACTGGGACAAAGAAGTACCTGGAAAACACTACTGGTCCTGATGCCGTCAATAACAGCAGCAGCAGTGTGGGGTAAACCATTCATCTCACAGCCAGGACAAGAAAGGAGAAGAGCAAGGGGTGGAGGTTCCTGACCTCCTGCAAGGACACACTCCTAATGACCACGTCTGAAAGGTTCTATACCCTCCTGACAGCACTGGAGACTTGGGCAAAGCTTTGACACATCAGCCTTTGGAGGACAGTTATCCCATCCACCAAAGTTATTTTTGTAGCTTTTAAGGGGTAAAGATCCAGAGGAGAACCTTCATGCAGATGAATGGGACCAAACTCTGCCACTGAAAAGGACTGGGGAGATTGAACCCAGAGAAGGGACATGAAGGGGTGGGCAGTGATGGTGGCAGCTGTCAGATATCTGATGGACTGACGGTGAGATGGTAGTTGAATACGTTCCAAGTAAGAGCAAGATGCAGGGAGCAGGTTTTAGTATAGCTACTTAGTCTA